CCCCGTGAGGCAGTAAGTCCCAGGCCAGAGCTGCCACCCTGGCAGTGGAAAGTGGCTTCCACCTGTGTGAGAAGATGAGCCATGTGACTTCACAACCCCCTTCCAAAGTGCCCAGGAGACCCGTGGCTCACGCCTGTCATCCTAGCTATTCAAAAGGCTGCACCAGTGCCTCATGCTTGTAATCCTAGCTACTCAGGAGGCTGAGATCTGAGGATCTCGGTTCAAACCCAGCCCTGGCAGGAAAGTCCATGAGACTCTTACCTCCAATAAACCACTAAAAAACTGGAAGTAACACTGTGGCTCAAGCGGTGGAGTGCTCGCCTTGAGCTGAAGAGCGTAGGGACAGCGCCCAAACCCAGAGTTCAAGTCCCACGACCGACAAAAAAAAAAAAAGGCTGAGATCTGAGGATTGCAGGTCAATGTCAGCCCAGGCAGAAATATCTATGAGACTCTTATCTCTAACTAACCACTAAAAAGCTAGACTGGAGGCAGAGCACCAACCCTGAGAGAAAAACTAATCTAGAGTTCAAACCCATGGGCTGGGAATGTGGCTCAGTAGTAGAGCGCTTGCCTAGCATGCATGAAACTCTGGGTTTCATTCTTCAGTACCACATACACAAAAAGCCAGAAGTGGTGCTGTGGCTCAAGTGATAGAGTGCCAGCCTTGAGCAAAAGAAGCTCAGAGACAGTGCCCAGGCCCTGAGTTCAAGCCCCAGGACTGGCAAAAAAAAAGAAAGAGAGAAAAAAGAAGAGTTCAAACCTCAATACCCATGCATAAGTGTGCGTGTACACACACATGCACACACACACACACGCACGCACGCACACACGCACGCACGCACACACACACAGAGCACCCTGGAGTCTAAAGACCTGGAGAGAGGCTCGGGAAGACCCTGCTGCAGGCCTCCAGGGGTTGGTCACCAGGCTGCAGGTTTCGAAGGTCCTTGGAGAACATGGGAGCGGCCCTGCTGCCTGCACTGGGCAGGGCTGACCCGAGTGTCCTGCCAGCCAGCACCCCAGCTCCACTCCACAAAGGAGACACCACTTGGCTGGCCTGTCTCTGGCCGATAAACCAAGCGCCTGTCACCTGTGCTGGGCTGCACGAAAGGAGACGAGTGGACAGCCACTGTGATGGGCTGGGGGGCTGGGGCCTCTCTGGCCTGAGCAAGCCCGTGGGTGAGCCCTGAGGCTTGGGCTCCGGTGTTCTGACTCAGGGGCTCCCTCAGGCGAGCAGGTGGTGAGCTCCACAGGGTTGGCTGGAGTGGGGCAGGGGATGAGGCCCCGGCACATGAACACCCCCTAAACTAGCTTTGCCCTCTGAGTCAGTCTGTACAACCTGGGACCCCAGCACCCCAAGGACCCATGAAGGGCCAAGGTGCTGCCCTACATCCTTACCCAACTTCACGCAAAGCTCTGCAGAGGCACTTGGTCCTCAGAGGTCTGAGCCCACCCCGTCACCCCTCCCCCCAGGGATACTCACTGTGCAGAATGGCCAGGGCCAGGATGCCCCCCGTGCTGGTCCCTGCCACCCAGTCAAAGAGGTCCTTGGTGGCCATGCCGGAGGCCTTCTCGATGGCGATGAGGAGCTGGATGATGACCAGGCCTTTCACGCCCCCTCCATCCAGGCAGAGCAGGTGATCATGGCTGCAGGGAGGACAGCGCGGGGAGCCCAGGGCGGGGGGCGGGGGTCCCGTGATGACTCGGCACCCCTGCCCCCCACACTCGCAGCTAATGTCCCCCAGCATCTCTACTGTAGTGGATGCCAGCAAAGCCGGCCAGGCCTGCGTGGGGCCAGTGTGCTAGTGGGGAGTGGGTGGGGTGAAGGGAAAAGGTAGGAGGGCAATGGCACAGCTCCAGGTCAGTTCTAGGCCTGCCCCAAAGCAGGTGCTGAGCAAAGTCTGTTAGAAGGAAATGGGAGAGGGGGGCGGGGGCGGGGGGAGGCTCCCTGCAGCTGGGTCAGGTTGGGGGAGAGGGCTTTCCATTTGGGAGATAAGGGAGGTTGGAAGGTCTGTGTGCCAGGGCCCTGCAATGTGGGGGACATGGGCGTTAGCTCACTCTGTGCTGCCCCGTGCCCACCTGTGTGAGTGGAGGAATGAAGGCCACAAGCGAGGAGACTGGCACAAAGTCACATCCTCCTGCCGGCCCCCGAGGCGCAGGCGCCTGCCCTCTCTGGTCAGGCTTGAGGGGCCGCCTTCCTTCGGGTCCCTTCTCATCTTTCCCTCTCAGTTTGACTTGCTGTCTACAAACTCCCCAAAGTCAGCGGGCCCCTCGGGTGCAGCTGCCCTGTCCCCCTGGGTTCAGAGCTGTCTATGAACACCGGCCCTTGGTTCACCTGCTTCTCTCTGCCCTCACCTCCACTAGCCAGGGGCCAGCTCTGCTCTAACAGCAAGATGGTGTCATCAAGTGAGGGGGATTTCTGCAGTCAGGTGGCAAGTCCCTGTCCTGGCATTCACAGGGTCTGTGCCTAAAGGGACAGGCTTGGGCAAAGGGGGTCCTTGCAATGCGCATGCTGATAGGAAATACCCTGCTTGGGAGTGAAAGTGGTCTGCCCTGTGCTCTGGACCCTCTCCCACTTCCAGTCACTGGGGCTCAAAGTCCACAGAGAGAGACCGCGGGAGAGGAGAACCAGAGTTTTGGGGCCAAAACTACAAATGAATTCATTTCTCCATTCACATACAGAGTAGGCCATTCTCCTAATTGGGTGAGGGTGGGGGGGGAGAGGAGTGCTCAGATTCAGACCTAGGGCTCAGAGGCTCCAGTAACAGACTTGGCAAAAGGACTTGAGTGTCCACACACTGGCGCCCCCCAGGGCCTCCCCCATGGGCCTGGGGACACAACTCGGGAAACAACTCATCTGTGGAGGGAGAAAGATAAATGAGGAAGCCATGGGGAGCCAAGAGACAGTGCTGGAATCTGCAGAGGGGTCGGGAGGATGCTCCAACTATGTTCTGGTCAGGGAAGAGGGCCACACGATGGCAGTGCCCTAAGGCTGCTGTGTGAGCCCGCACTGCCTGAAGGAATGATTACGTCATCACAGGCCGCAGGACCGGAAGGAAAGCTGCCTCACTAGGCAGGGTGGGACAAGGGACACCAAGGGAGGCGTCCATACCGGCCTGGCCCTGGCCTTGGCTCCACTTACGTCCGCTTCTCGTCCCTCATGGAGCTCAAGATGAATGCTGGCTTCCGGGCCCGGGAGATGGGCAAGAGGTCCTGCAGCTCTGCGGGGCACAGGGCAGGGCACGCTGCACATCCCATGGATCCTTAGACACCAGTAGAGCTGTGCCCCACTAGCTGTCTCTCCCTGTGCCCTGCCCCTCTGCTTCCTGCCCCAGGGCCCATGGGCCCCCCTGGGAATGACCCCGGCCCTGGCTCCCCAGCACACAGCCCCTCCCACCTCCTCCTGAAACTCTGCTCCAGTGCCCGGCGACTCAGTGCGCAAGCGCTGCCCAGTGCAGACCTGGCTGCTCTCAGCTCCCCGGGGCATCACAGCTATTGCTGCCAACGTGCTAGCAGGCCCCAGACGTGCTCCGAGACCCATCAGAAGGGCTTAGTGCGGACAAGGCTGAGGACTGGACTCCAAGAATGAAGGGCACATCCCCCCCATCCTTTGTCCTGGCCCCAGGTCTGAAAACTTCCTTGGTGGCCTGGGGGTTCAGTTGCACCCACTCATCCTCTCCATCCAGTCGTCCTCTGGACGTAAGGCCCACCCCCTCCCAACAAGCAGCGCAACCCCACACGTCCGTCCGCGCGTGCGTGCCCGGCACGTGACTGACAGCCCACGCGATGGTGCAGGAACTAGAGGCAGGCAGTACGGCAGGCAGGCAGGAGCAAGGCAGTGTCCCCCCAACCCAGGACATGGCCAAGGAGCAGGCAGGGTCAGCAGGAGGCTAGCCAGGAGGGGTAGTGCGGGGGTGGGGGGGAGGTGCGTGTGCCTGGAGGTACAACTGAGGAAAGGAGAGGGGACCAGGGCTGAGGCTTTGTGGGCAGGGCTGGGCTCAGTGGCTTTCCTAGGCCCAAGCATTACCCTTCTGCCGCCATGCCCCAGGCCCACTGTCCAGCCTGGCTTAGAAGACTGCCTGCCTGTAAAATGGAGAGAGAAAGATGGGGTGCTGGGGGCAGTGGGGATGGAGGGTGCTGTGCTGGAGGGACTGGGATCTGCCTCCACCATGGCTAGCAGGTCAGCTCACCAACCATAGGTTCCGGCTGCCTTTGGAGCAGGGGCTCCCCTCCCCAACAGCCTAGGCTCCTGGTGAGCCAGACTCCAGAAGGCCAGAGCAGGGGTCCAGTCTCCTCTGGGGCTGTCTCCAAGGGTACCAAGGCCCATGAGGACAAATGCTGGTTACTGACCAAACCAGCACGGGGTAGACTGGGGCTCTCACACAGGACAGACTCAGTAAGACAGGGGTGGAAGCCCAAGGACCAGAATCCCCCCAGGGGACAAGAGATGGTGAATGTCACAGGTAACACGGGCCCCAGACTGAGTCCAGAGCACCCTGCTGGGGACTCCAGCCAGAGTCTGCCCAGGGCTTGGCTGTCCAGGTTGGCTTACAGCTCTTCCCCTTCGTCTCTCGCTCCCTTCAACTCCTCCCATCCTTGGATCCAATTCTTCCTCTCCAGTGGGGGTTGCTGGGGCCAGGCTTGGGCCCTGTGGGGGGGGGGGGGGGGGGGGGGGGGGGGGGGGGGGGGGCAGAGGCCTACCTAGGTTGTTTAAGCTGATCTCTGGGGGCTGAGCTCTCTCCAGGGAGAAGGGGTGAGGCAATGCTGCAGAGCCCTGAGCCGCAGGGACCTCTGGGATGCCTGGGACGCGGTAGTCAGCCCCCACGGTTTTCAGCAGGGCCAAGAGCGCCTTCCTGGTGACCACTTGTCGTGGTGTGGGAAGGAGAAATGGCAACAAGGAAGTGAGGTCCCTCCCTCCACACAGGAGCCCTGCCTCACTGCCCGGCCGCCTGGCCGTGCAGGAGCCGCCCGTGGGGTGTGCTGAGTGCCAGGCTGTGAGGCTCCACGCGTCTCTCAGCACTGGGGTGGGGAGTGTCAGGGATGGACCACAGGGTAGGACAGAAGGAAGGCAGAGTCACCTGCCCCATTATTTTGGGGTTTCCCTCTTTCCTTCTAATGTAATCAAGGAGGCAGGGCAACCATCTTCATGGTGAGCAGTTCTCAAAACCTCCATGGGACATTTCCTTTCAGAGTTTGAAAGGGACAAGGTAGCAGCCTTCCACTTGTCCACCCGTGACCTTTTCCCTTCTCTGCAGGGACAACTCTGAGCCAAGGGCCTGAGCACAATGAGAGCAGACGGCAGGAGCAGGGAGGGCAGTGGACCACCTAGGTTGTTTAAACTGATGGTGGGGGGCCGAGCTCTCTCCAGGGAGAAGGGGCAAGGTTGCAGGTCAGACCTCTACAAAAACCTCACAGGTCCCTAAAGCCCTCCAGAGGGGGCTCCAGGTCCCTGTAAAGACAACCTGCCGCCTCCTGCACTATACAGGCTCAGTGCGCAGGGGTGTAGCGCATGCACGTGTGTGTCTATGCACATGCACATGTCTGTCTGTGCACATGAAGGCATGCAAAGGTGTGTGCAGGCATGCTCACGTGTCTGTGCACTAAGGGCATGCGAAGGTGTTACAGGCATGCACACACCCATCCTGCACATGCCAAGGCCATTCTCCTGCTGCTCATCCTAATCGTGCCCCCATGGGGAATCTGAACCCCCAGGGGCTGCATGGGGAAGGACCCAGTTGGTCAGCCCTTGGTGAGCCTGCCTTAGGGGAAGGACGCTCCCTCTTGGGGCCCCACATGCTCCTGGCCACCCTCAGCAGAGAGCAGTGGTGGTCAGCACAGGGCACTGGCACCTAATGGCTGAGCAGTCCGTCCTCAGTCTCTGCCCCTGTCCCTGCCCAACTCCAGTCCCAGGTAGCAAAGTACATACTTTTGCTGATCTTGGAAGCTATTAATGCAGGAGTCTCCCCGAAGTCATTTGGGACGTCCACCTCTGCTCCAAACACAATGAGGGCCTTGACCAAGTCTAAGTTGTCATTCTGTTGGGGAAAGAGGGAGGACAACATGTGACAGCTCATCAAATAATGTAGGAGGGATCTCCCGAGCACAGAGACATTGGGGTCTCTGACCCCACTTCCAGGGAATCTGGTATTCCATAGCCTGCAGTTTGATGACTAGTGTCCTGACCAGGGGGTTTCAGAGCCCACATAGAAATGGGAGGGTCACCAGGCTCCTCTAGAAGCTCCTATGTGCTTCCAGGAGCCCTGGGATGCTAAGGAATTAGCTGCTGCAGCTCTCAGGGAAAGCCCATCCGGTCCAGGGAAACAGAGCCAATGCCTGGCCCAATGGCTGCCTTCTGGGGGTAGTTTCTATCTTTCTGGAGAACTTTCATTTAAATCTCTAGGGCCAAGCAGCAGGGTGGGAAGCCTGCACAGGACAAACCGACTGGCAACTGGAAACCAAAGCTCTGTTCTCATCATGTTCCCTCCCAGGACCCCATTTCCCTGCCTGGAGAATGCAGCAGTGATGTGTGAAGTGGGTTCCCAAACATTCTTCACATTTATGAAGATGCACACGGGATCCAGTAAAGCGCACATTTCCATCGCTCATTTCATGCTCTTTGGGGTTTCCTTTTACATATGGTTCCTTTTACATACATTGTCACTTGTGCAGCAGTGACAATGACTTCCACAGAAGTTTAAGGACATTTCAAAGTAGAACAGCTTGAAGATGCAATTGACCACCTAAATGGAGAGGGGGCTGAAGAATGGCTCAAAAGCTGTGAAGAAAGCAGGCACATGCAGAGGAGCAGCACACAGGAAATGGTGCACTATACACGCAGCCCTCCAGCTGCTCTAATCACTGCAACCACAGCCCTCCAGCTGCTCTAATCACTGCACCCACAGCCCTCCAGCTGCTCTAATCA